TGGGGTTGTCGAGCTTTCTGGGGCGGGCCTCGCCGAACTTGCGAGTCTCCATCTGTTGCGCACGGTACGCTTCGTAGTGTTGTTCTTCGGTGGTGTGAATAAGGTCCAGCATGTGAGTGCGGATTAGGATCGAGCGCAGCTTCTTGAAGTCGCAGTGATCCTCGTTCTCAACCTCGGCAACACCCCAAGCGTATTGGCGACCCTTCACAACCCGATTGTCGCTGGTCTTGACGTCCTTCTCCGATCCGATGACTGCGAAGGGCATGGCGGCCATAAGGCTGCGCGCATGGGTAGCGGCGTGCTCGTCGTCTTCCTCGATCGGGGGAGTGTAAATCTTGATGCCCTGGGCCTCGATAACGGCACGGATCTATAAAAGTCACGAACGTCAACGCATGTACTTGCTGGTAGTCTTGCGGCTTGCTCACTCTTTGCTTATAACGGGCCAAGTCGGTAGGGCTGAGGGTATCGGCCTTGGCGATGACGGGAATGAGGTTGACACGGGAGCTGAGGCGCTTCATAACCTCAATGTCCAAAGGCTTCAGGGTGTGTCCAGTAGGGCGGATAAAGTACAAGCAAGCGTGCACACGCATATCGATCTTGTCGGAGCGGCGGGGCTGCTGCTCCTGCAGCATGTAGGATTCATGCTGGTCGTCGAGGAATTCAATGATTGGTTGCCAGGAGTCGCGGTTGTTGACATAGTCTCCAAAACCGGGGGTATCAATAACAGTCAGGCGAACTACAGCGGGAACCGGAGCATTAGCCATTGTTTGTGAGAGCCAGAAACATTCGCTAATAACCTTTGAAGAACTTCTCCTCAAGCTCCGCCTTGGTGATCTCAATCTCGACAGTTCGGTCGACCTGCTTCTGATGACGGCGCTTGTGATCGGCGTAGTTCTTGATAGTTGTGGAGAACAAAGTGTTGATGAAGGTGGTCTTTCCCAAGCCAGATTCTCCAGCAACCTATATTCATCTGATGAGCTTGGCCCCGCTATGAAATATGGGTTCATGGTTAACCAACCATAATCGTGAAAGCAGCACCACGCTTAGCAACGATCTTGTGTCTGGAGATCTTCGTTAGTATCGGCCATGGCTGGCATTGTTTCGCACGGCATACCGCTGGTTAGGAAGCTATTCATATCGGATTGTCAGTTTCATGTTCTTGTCAGATAAAGAGACAATTTTTGCTTATCGTAATACATACGTTGGCAATGCCAATGGGGGAGGCGGTTTCGGTAGAAGACATGATGGTAAGGGGTTGAGCTGGAACTTAATGAAGCGGTACCAGACGAAGTAAATAGAGGATGGCGGGAGAAGGACAGCGCTGGCCTAGGACGAACGGGGCTATGGGGCCAACGGGGTAGAAGAGAGAGAAGAATTAAACGAGAGGACAGACGACGAGAAGCGGAGTAGAAATAGGATGAGACAACGACCGTCGGGGGGGAAGAGTTAGAGGAAGAAAGAGAGAGCGAGGGAGACTTTGGGGATGGAATGGGATGATAGATCGGGAAGTCGTGCCTTCTTCGACTGGTTGCTGCCCCTGAATCCGCCCCCCAAGCAAACAGGATGCAAACAAGCGAGCGTGACTGCAATGCTTGAGGGGGAAGAAGGGGAACTGTGTAAGCCTCAGGCTGTCAATTACCTCCATTAGGACTAGCCAGCCAGACTAAGGCCCCGGATGGCGCTAGCACTATTGAAGACTAATGCGATCGGGGTCGGAGAAACCGTAGATCCGTTTCTTATCGTCCGTTTTGGGCAGGCCGATTTTTTTGAAGATCGACCGATGAATTAGAGACTAGAGGAAGGCTTGCTGCGGTGCGAACGGATCCGGTTGGCGACAATGAAGACGGATTTCAAGGTGCGTTTATTGCTCTTGCGATTGTTATTTCTGCGAAGACAAAAAGCAACGAAGCGGGGAGCATTGGAACTGACAGCTATATCTAGTTTTCCAACCTACTGGGGACGGTTTATCGCAAAGGTAATCTGCTCTTCACTCCCGATGGCAATTCTCTGCTCTCGCCGGTGGGAAACCAGGTCTCGGTTTTCGATTTAGTACAGTATGTGCTTCCGCGCCTTGGGAATATCGGCATTTTATACTAATACCATCTTCCTTCTGAAGCAACACTTCTTATACCCTTCCCTTCGCGCATCGCACCAACATCGACCATCTGGCGCTCTCCCCCAATGGAAAACTACTCTTGACTATTGACGAGAATGGTCGCGCCATTCTGACCAACTTCTTGCGCCGTATTGTGATCCACCACTTCTCTTTCAAAGGCCGTGTCTCCGCCCTTAAGTTCGCCCCATCCGGTCGATTCTTCGCTGTGGGTGTAGGAAGACGGCTGCAGTTCTGGAACACCCCGACTACGCCCGGTACCGACAACAATGGAGAGATTGAGTTTGCGCCTTTTGTTCTACACCGCGACCTCGCCGGGCATTTCGATGTGGTTCAACATCTTGAGTGGTCGAGCGACTCCCGCTTCCTGATCACAGCCTCCAAGGATTTGACCGCGCGGATATGGAGCTTGGATCCGGAAGAGGGCTTTGAGCCCACAACGCTGGCTGGCCATCGTCAGGGAGTGAAAGCCGCTTATTTCTCCGCCGACCAAGAATCGGTAAGTCTGGGAATTATCTCGCTCTCGAATGTGCACTAAGCATGGGTAGATTTACACCATCAGTTCCGACGGTGCTGTCTTCCGATGGGAATATGTTACCAAGAAGGATCCGGAGACTATGGAGGATATTGCGGATGCCAGATGGAGGATTGTCAAGAAGGATTTCTTCATGCAGAATGACGCTAAGGTCAACTGCGCTGCTTTCCACGCGCCCACGAATCTTCTGGTTGTTGGGTTCTCCAACGGGTTGTTCGGGCTTTATGACATGCCGGAATTCAATCAAATTCACCAGTTGAGGTATGCATATGCAACTAGACTTATTGGACAAGACTAACGTCAGTGCAGTGTTTCTCAAAGCAACATCGACTGCGTGACGATTAACAAATCAGGCGAGTGGTTGGCATTTGGCTCCTCCAAGCATGGACAACTGTTGGTGTGGGAATGGCAATCCGAATCGTACATTCTGAAGCAACAAGGTCACCTTGACTCTATGAACACTCTGACATATTCTCCCGACGGTCAAAGAGTTGTGACTGCAGCCGACGACGGAAAGATCAAGGTTTGGGATGTTAAATCTGGTTTCTGCATTGTGACCTTCACGGAACACACAAGCGCAGTCACGGCCTGCGAGTTCTCCAAGAAAGGAAATGTTCTGTTTACAGCGTCATTGGACGGCTCCGTCAGAGCCTGGGATCTTGTCCGCTACCGAAACTTCCGGACATTTACTGCTCCGACTCGGTTGTCTTTCTCCTCACTCGCAGTCGACCCAAGTGGTGAGGTGGTTTGCGCTGGCTCTCCGGACTCATTCGATATTCATGTCTGGTCCGTGCAAACAGGACAACTGCTCGATCAACTTGCCGGCCACGAGGGTCCTGTTTCGGCCCTCTCGTTTGCAGCTGACGGTAACCACTTGGTGAGCGGTAGTTGGGATCACACTGTCCGCATCTGGAGCATTTTTGGACGGACGCAGACGAGTGAACCCTTGCAACTACAGGCAGATGTATTGGATGTAGCTTTCAGACCCGATGGAAAGCAGGTTGCTGCGTCGAGTTTGGACGGCCAGTTGACGTTTTGGTCTGTTAATGATGCCGTGCAGATTGGCGGTGTTGACGGCCGTCGTGATGTCTCAGGAGGACGCAAGACCAGTGACCGACAGACCGCCGCAAACGCCGCAGGAACCAAGTCCTTCCGCTGCATCAAGTACAGCGCGGACGGCAGTTGTATTCTGGCCGCCGGAAACAGCAAGTACATCTGCTTGTATGATGTCGCAACAGGATCGATGGTGAAGAAGTATACTGTGTCGGTCAACACCTCGCTCGAGGGTACTCAGGAAATCCTCAATAGCCGCAATATGACGGAGGCTGGCCCTCGCGAGCTCATCGATGAGGCAGGTGAGGCTTCAGATGTTGAAGACCGCATTGATCGCAGCCTCCCTGGCGCGAAGCGTGGTGACCCCGGATCTCGGAAAGTCAGACCTGAGGTCCGAGTCACAGGAGTCGACTTTTCACCGGCTGGCCGTTCATTCTGTGCAGCCTCCACGGAAGGTCTCCTTATCTATAGTTTGGATACCGATGTGGTGTTTGATCCTTATGATCTCGATATATCGATCACCCCGTCTACCATTTTGGAGACCCTCGAGGCCGCCAAGAAGGCCGCGGCAACCGGCCAAACGGACGATGACAACACATTCCTTAAGGCGTTCATCATGGCATTCCGTCTGAACGAAAAGAAGCTCATCCGGGCAGTTCATGAATCCATCCCTCCAAGCGATATTCCCCATGTTGTGCGTGCTGTGCCAACAGTTTACCTCCCTCGCCTCCTTCGCTTCGTCGCCAATGCTGCCGAAGAAACTCCGCACTTGGAGTTTAACTTGTTGTGGATTGAGTCTCTTTTCAGCGCCCATGGTCGCTACTTCAAGGAGAATGCGGGCACATTCGCACCAGAGCTTCGTGCTGTGCAACGTGTCATCGATGAGATACACAACAGCCTGAAGAGACTGACAGACAAGAACACCTATGATCTCAACTTCCTCCTGGCAAAACCTGTGCTTGCAGGCAAGAAGCAACCCAGTCTTATTCTCGCTGCTCTCAATGGTGATGCTGAGGCTACCAATGGCGAGGACGAGACCATGGAAGAGGCAGCGGAGGAGGCTGATGGGGAATGGATGGGCCTCGAATGATTGTATGTCACTGTTTTTGTACCCTGATACTCCTGTCGTTCTTGTTCCCCTCCGGTCATCTGTTTGGCTTCGCATGTGCTCCTGGCGTTGAATCTGTGGTATACTTGGAAAGAGAAAGGGGACAGCAAAAAGTTTAGGAGTCTTGATGCTGTGTTTATAGGATATGTAGTACATATACACCGAATAATAAACTTTCAGAATTATTTTGGGGCGTTTGCAGTGAATCTATTCGGTGTGCTTTAAGTGAGCATCCAGTTCCTCTTTGCAGTTTCTTTCCCTCTCTCCACCTTCTTACCTCCTAGTACTCTTCCATCCACCACAGGCTGTTTATCGTCCACCATGTCTTTTCTAAATGATCTTTGCGTCTATCTCAACTCGGCTGCGTGGAAGACCTCCCTTGTTTTAGCAATCACTCTCGTCGTCTGCTTCTTCTTCCATCGCTATGCCATCGCCCCTTTGACTGATGAGCTCGCCAGACTGCCCACAGTCCGATACCGATGGTTTCTCCCCGACGCCCTCAATCGAATCGCGTTCTACTTTTACGGACGCAATCAAATCGCTCAAGGTTACAGAGAGGTACTCCATGTTGCCGCCACCAGTTACCCAACGATCCATACTGATGCATTTTGATATCTCCCAGTACAAGGAACGTGCATTCCGGCTCCTTACCACGGACGGTGACTTGGTTGTTTTGCCGCTCAAGTATCTATGGGAGATCGAGCAGTTGCCCATGACCACGCTGAGCGCTACTAGAGCACGACATAAGGTGAACTGATTACATGCGAGGGACTGAGAAGATTCGGCTGCTGATCATGTCCCTCTGTCTTCAGACTCTCCTGAGCGAGTACACTGGCCTAGTCAGTGGGAGTACAAATGTATCTCGTGCAGCGGCAGAGATGAGCCAGCAGAGTCATCGTACGTCTGCTCTATTCTCTACATCGATCCCCGGAGGTTGACTGACATTCTTACTCACTTGCATAACAGAGCACATTGCTATGCAGTTCAACGATGAAGTTCACAAGGCGCTGTACGTCGAAGTCCCAAGATGTCAGTGTACGTACCTCCTCGCCTCCACTCCACCTTCACCCTACTCACCTCCATCACAAACACCTCCACCTCCCTCACCTCCACCTCAGCCTAAGACTAACACACCAACTCAGACAAATGGATGCCCGTCAACCTGTACAAACTAGTCCTCAGGCTCATCAGCCGCGCCACCGCCCGCTTCACCGTGGGCGAAGAGCTCTACCTGAACGAGCTCTGGCTCGAAACAGTCCCCAGCTACACAAGCGACATCCTCACAACCATCATACTCCTGCGTCCCGTACCCCAGTTCCTACGAGCGCTCGTCGCCCGACTTCTTCCCAGCCTCCGCCGGGCCCGCGCAAGAGCGCGCTGGGCCCAGACCGAGCTGCTCATCCCCACGATCCAATCGCGCCAACACAAGGAAGTCCACGACAGTGCCTACCAAAAGCCGCAGGACCTCATACAGCGGATAATGGACATGGCCACGACGAACTTCGACCGAGACCCAGCCAACATCGCCAAAGCGCTGATGTCGACCATCACGATCTCGATCGTCCACCCGCTCACCAACCTCGTCACGCACGCTGTCTACGACGCTCTCACCCAGGGCCAGGGCCAGCAGATAATCGACGCGCTCCGGACAGAAACCGAGAGAATCCTATCCCTCCTCGAACACGATGACGAATTCGGTCTAATCCCCCGCCCACACCAATGCCTCATGGACAGTTTTCTCCGAGAAGTCCTGCGCTGGAACCCGCTGAGCGAACGTAAGTTAACCCCCCCCCCCAAACCCACATCCCACACCTGCACCCCCAGAACCCCCGAACCAACCCAGCTAATCCCCCTGAGGAACAGTAAACCCACGCTACACCCTCCTAAAACCCCACACCTTCACCTTCACCTCCCCCTCCACCACCACCAACAGCACCGAACCCCTAACCCTCCCCGCATTCACCCAAATCACCTTCCCAGCGGGCCCTTTCTCCCGCGACGCAGCCATAATCCCGCACGCCGAGCGCTTCCACCCCTTCCGGTGGACCCGCGACCCCCTCGAGGTCCTCCCGCTTCTCCGCCCGGACACGATCGACCCGCGGCTCCGCAGGGCCGTCGCCTTCGACACCGGTCTGGCAGACTCCAGCCCAGTCAATCTGCACTTCGGGTGGGGGAAGGACCGCGCCGCCGCGGCGGGTGCGTGTCCCGGCCGACATCTTGCGGCGCGCTTGGCGGCTATGGCGCTGAGCGGTCTGCTTTTGCGGTATGATCTGCGGCTGTTTCCGGGGGAGAGGAGGCGCAGACCTGTGAATTTGGGGGCGGGGGAGTTGGTCTTTCCCAACCCTGGGGTGAGGGTTTTGGTGAGGGAGAGAGGGGAGGGGGGATCGATTGGGGTTTTTGGGGTTTGAGGTGGTGTTTGGGGGGTGGATGGAGATAAATATGGAGTTTGTAGAAGGTTTGCGAGGATGGGAGGGGGGTTGGAGTGTGAGACGCTGGATGCATTTTGTCGTTGTAGTGGTTTTGTAAGATATGTGTATTGAGGAGAAGGAGATGCATCATCGAGTAAGGAGGGGTGGGGTGGGGTGGCTGTTGTGAGGGTTGGGGTTCCGCTGGGTATGGGCAAGGGCAAGTCAATGTCTCCGTTGTTTCCGCTTTGAAGCATGTTGTACTCTAATCGGGATGACAATCTTTGTAAGGCAGCGGCGCAACAAAAACGCACATTACTATTTCAGAAACGTTGACAGACACCTTACAGGTAATACTACAAAGTCAACACACCACGTTCGGGGAATGCGAAGTTATGTATCATTGGGAAACCCAACTTCTGAGCGCGAAACATAGTATCTCGAGTAAGAATACATGTCCCAAATATACAAGAGTGAGATATCCCTCGTATCTTTCACACAACACTTCGTTGCCTTCCCCTCAAAAATTTACAAGCCACCCACCGGCTCTAATTGCCCTCAACAACAGCCGCGGCTCCTCGCCCACGACCACGACCCCGGAATCCATTACCCCCTCGATCTCCACCACTACCTCCACGTGCACCTCCACGGCCACGGCCACGCTGGTTCAGCGTTTGCGGCGGCGGAACCTGGGTGTAATTCTTGGGCCGGAAGTTCGGGTTGATCTTCATGACACCGGCATCGGGGTCACTGTTGTCGACCGCATGATATCCGCCACGGGTGCGACCCGCTCCTCCGCGACCGGCACCGCCACGGCCTCCACCCCGGCCCCGACCCCCGCGAGATGCACCATCAGCGGTCTGGTTGCCGTTGGGCTGAGGGCGGAAAGGTAGGGTCGTCTGAGCGCCCACGCCATTGGATGCGCCCCGGCCGCCTCGGCCACGACTAGCGAACCCCGTCAGTGCGCCACGGTACGAGTTGCCCAGCGGCGCGGGGGCGGCAGCTTCTCTCAGCTGGCCCTGTCCGGCGGGTCCAGTAGGGGCACCGTAGGCACCAGCAGTCAACGGAGTCGATTGGGTTTGTTGTTGTGCGTCGCCTGCACGAGTCGTGGCGAGGAGCTGCCGGTAGGAGACATTGAGCACAGATGAGGCGAGCACGGTCTGGCCGCGGAAAGGGGAGCAGCGGTCTCCCAGCGTCGTGCCGCTCATGAACGAGACGTCGAAGACGACATCCAGCAAGACGGCCCGCGAGGTCCGGGTGAGTCCCACAACGGTTCCTCGAGTAGCGATAGGCACCTTGCCCGAATCTTGTGCATAGACTACCCGATCGCCAAGCTTGAAAGTTTGATTTTGGAGTCGCTGCTCGACGTCGGATGGCCGCAGAAGGGCGCTCCGAGGGACACCGCGGATCTTCTTGGCCTGCATCTGCGGTTGGCTCCGGACAAGCTGATCAGCATCCTGCTCGATCAACTTGACAACATCGGAATCCAGCTGTTCAGCCTCCAGGGGAACGCGCTCGAAATTCTTGGCTTCGATCGATTTGAGCCAGTCCCGGATCTCTTGCATCTTCAGCAAAGCGACCTCTTCGGGGTAGAAATCGGTGGGCGTGTACCGATCATTTTGAGGATTTCGTTGAATCCCTGCAATGAACTCGGGAAAGTTGGTCATATACTGTACCAGCAAGTCGACGGTTTTCTGGCTGAACTCCCATCCAGAATCGCCACGGCGCGAATAGCCAAGCACCTTCTGCTTGCGCGCTTCAAATTTGAGGTTCAGACCCAAATTGACCCGCTGACCCTCAATGTCCACGGAGAACGAAGATGTGATCTTGGCCAAGACGAGGGGGTTCAAGCGCAGGCTGCGAGCGATGGCATAAGATGGCATGTAAGGGCAGAGTCGCTCGGCATTCTTGGCACGCTCGCGTCCAAACTCGGGCTCCCGACCTTTTACCGCCGCGATCATGCCACTGACTTTGCCGTCTTCGTGTCCAGTGACATGCACCGGACGTCCATAGTTGAATTCTCCTAGGAAGAACGCCCGAGAACCCTCAGGGAATTCCTTCTCAATAGGCAGAGCGTCTCTCTCGATGAACCTTTCATCGGGGTTGATCACGTCGTCCACAATCAACTGCAAGGCGTAGTCGGTTTCCTGTCCACTGATTTCGCCGAACTCTTTAACCGTAGCACCTTGATCAGTCTTGATCAAGCCCTTCAGTAGCTGTACGTGTACCATGGACTCAACCGGACCGATGATAGTACCAAGTCTCTTGCTATACGTTCCTTCGATTTTGTCGGCCTTCTTCTTCCATTGCTCGATCTGAGCCGGGGTATGAGGAATAGCGACCACGTGCTGCTCGCCATCTGGGAGAAGATAATCAAAAAGCTCATCCGACACACGAATGACAAGCGCTTCTTGCAAGAACGGATAACCAACGTGAACCCGCTTTCCGAGCTTCTGTTTGGCTAGCTCAGCGCTCGACCTGCTTCCAGGATCAAGCACAGTGATTACCATGCTCTCATTGCGGCTTTCCTGCTGGAACACACAAACTCCATGGAATCCCAACTGACCCACATGGGGCAGGGTCTTAAGACTAGGGAAACCAGCCAAAGCAGACGCTCCAAGGTGTGCTCCCTCCATCAGGCCGATGTAGGGCTCAAGTCCGTCCATGGTAGGCAAATCAAAAACGTTTTCGATACAGTGGCAGTTAGGAATATCAGGGAAAATGCCAGGAAGAGAAGAGGCGTAAGTGAACTGCACGTCTGGCGAGTAGGTAAACTTCAAACTGGCACCAAAGCCGTTTCTTGCTTTTTCCTCTGGGGTTAGTAGATGTTCCTTCGTGGCCAAAGCAGCCAACAGGCGCTTTTCGTCGATGAATGGAATCTTCACAACTGCCTCCCACTCCATCTTCTTTCCGTTCATGTCCAATTCAAAGTCGCGGGGATAGAAGTCAATAATTGGCGAGTCAGGTGAAGTCATCAGCTCATGATACGCAGTAGGCACGGTCTTCTTGCTTCGATCAGGCAAGACTCCCATCAACTGCTCGTAAGGCCTGAATGGCTTGCCAAGTCGGAAGTTCGTGTCGGCCTTCAAACCCTTCTTCACATCTGCACCAAGTTAGTGGTCGGTGATCATGTGGGCACATGCCATACTTACCAGAAATCATCGGGGCGTAGTGATATCTGAAGAACCAAGGCCAAGACGCAATGCCTCTGTAGTAATAGTACAGAACCCATTGGAGACCTTGGACGTAGTTCTCAGTTAACTCCTTCATCTCCTCGTGACTATCCAGCCCCCAACCAAATTTACCAACATAGTACTGGTTCTTCCATTCTTGGAACTTCTCTTCGTACTTCTTCTCAGCTGCTTCTTGAGCTTCTTCGGCCGACAACTCCTGGACCTTCGCATTCTCGTATTTTCGAATAATCCTCTGTACAGCCAAAGTGGCCTCTTCATCGTCCTCCTCTTCACTATCATCATTCTCGTTGGCAGGTAGCTGAACTCGAATGAAGCGGTCGCCCTGCTCATCAGCGACGGTGGTCCAAGGCAGGCGAAGATCGCTCGCCAGCTGCTCCACAAACTTGCGGTCGCGAGCGGGCAGCGTAGAGTTGAAGTCAAGAGGCTTCGTCTCCGACGCTTTCCCAGGTCGGTTCAACACGTACTTCTTCACTTCTTTGAGGAGCTCCTTCTGGGCAGGAGTGATCGTGAGTCCCTTCGGCTTCTCATGTGCCTCGGTGGCGCCAGTCTTCTTCGCTTGTAGCCAACGTGCATCGGAGAACTCGGCTTCAAAAAAGCGATACTCAACACTGCTCAGAGCATCCAAGAGCATGCCTAGCCGCTCCATGTGGATGACGCCTTGTTCATTGATGTAGCCACCCATCTTAGGTAAAATCTCCTTGTAGGTCTTGAACATCAACGCTAAAGCACCCTCGTTAATATGCAAATTGGGTAAATTAGGCAAGAAATCGTTTCCAACGAAGAATGCCATCAAGATGAAGTCGTCGATCACCCTCTCCATATCAAAGGGGAAGTCTAGGATGCCCTCCTGCTCCAACTCCTGAAACTCCAGTTCCAAATATTCTCTGACCATACACAGATGCAAAAGATAGAAATTTTGGTGCTCAAGTTCCTTAGGCTTCTTCGAAACCTGGCGGCCAAAAGTGACCTCCTCACGGAGAAGGCAGAAATGAGGGTCGTGACTCAGCAGACCCAACATGATCAGATCGGCGTCAAGGCCGTAGAGACAGTGGCGAACATTGGGATCGTAATCAGGCTGTGCTTTCGCATGCCGGATGTATTCCATGATTTTGTGCTCACCCTCACCAGGAGTCTCGTGGCCGGAAAGCACAATGTCAACTCCCTGCCAGTCCTTGTCTTCCGAAATCTTCTTGCTGATAAAGTATTTCAATTGTTCGGTCAGTTTCGCCATGAACTCGGTTCCCGGAGTAATGCAATTGCTGTCGAAAGGATCTTCCTTGGGCATCTCGATGCCCTGGGCAATCGCCTTGTCCTTGGCTACCTCAGCGTCCAGGGCCGTGCGGAAACGTCGCGCACGCTGTTGGTTCATCTTGGCGCGGGGAGCCACGCCATCGACGGCCATAAAAAATAGCTTCTTCGGCTTAATCTTGCCGTACAAATGCTCGATATAGTTGAAAATAGCGATGAACATCTTATCTTCGGTCATGCGGAATGTCGGCGAGTCGCTGTCCTTGTGGGTACAGTTGTGAATGATACCGTTCATGTCCAGGTACAGATTGTCGAACTCGGGAATCCGGTTCTCTGCAATCAGCAGCGAGATGGCGGGATACCGCTCGCTCAGCCAACGGAAGAACTTGGGAACACCCATGGTGAATTATGTAAAGAGAATCTAGCGTAGAGGGTGTAGTTTCTAGAGACGAAAATTATCAAGGAGACAAAAGCTGCCGTTGAGTGGTAGATCGTCGCAGGAGTGGTGGAAGTGGCGGTGGTCGTCAATAATCAATGAAGCTCCAAGCTCGGAGGCGAATCATCCAGCGCACAGCGTAATGGGCGGTCGCAGAGAAACGGAAACGACTGGGTATCCTCAAAGAACTATATTGACAGAGAAATTTCGACACAGAAAGGAGAAAATGGAGAAGAGGCGAACGTAACGAGGCGGGAAGGCGGCGAAGGCGCCTAATTGGCAAGAGGGGAAGAATGATGTGTAGTGAATGAAGATCAGAGGCCGATGATGAATGACTCTAACTACAGCTCGGATGGTTTTGCCTCAGGCAGAGAGGCC